CATTTAATTGAAAATATGGCATAGAATATAGTTTTCCTTCGATGCAAAATGAACTATTTCCGAAAACGAGAAACGATCTCCAAATACTATTTTAAAGCATTCAATTAAACGGCTTTGATCAAGCGGCGTTTGATTCAATAACGTTCGATTAAATGGCTTCGATGAGACGGCGTTCGATGAAGTGTCCGGACCCAATCACCAGCATTAATTTGAAATACGAGTTAATCTTTCCTACCTTGCTCAGTCCACGGATAAAACCACCTCATCTGGTTGGTTGCTAATATCAATGACCTAACTTTATTATAAATGCCATCAGTGACGTTTTTGCGGTGGCCCGTGACCTGCTTCTTTGTTTCTGTTTATTATTAGTAATTATTTGTTACAGATGTACAGACTATTTTGGCAGTGTATTTACCTTCCGCTCTATAACGACTTCGGGCCACGAGAGCGCATTCGATAAACAAGTACACAAAAGTAGTAATTGTGGTCGCGTTGTCAACTCCATCCCTTGCTTAATCATGTATACAATGCGTAGGAAGAAACGCGTTGATAGCAATATAAGGGGAGAAGCTTGAAAATTGTTAAGCGGGCGTTGGTTTTTAAAAGCCGGGGTTCTTGAAGATGTGTGACAAAACGCGGGGGTTTGCGGCAGGGGTATGGAAACGGGGCTTTCGGATTTGGATTATTTCTTAAACTAATCATGGAATGGGGCAGAATCGTAAATGTCGGCGAGGAGCACTTTATTCTGTCAGGAAGACCCGGCTTGCTTTTGTAAGTAAACGACCGTTGAAACAGATAACAGACATACACTGGATTCTCCAGTAGCTTCGAAAAAGCCACGTTACATTCTCCGCTCAAACCGTGACATTGAACTTTAAAAATACGTGGAACAGAAAAAACGATCAGATAGAAACGCTACACGGACTGAGTGTATCTCCGTTTCACCATAACTTGGTAAACCGCGAAAGCTGCGATCCCCGTTGGCCAATCAGAGCAAGGGAGCGACGCACGAGACAGCTCTCCGTGGGAGGATCGTGTTTCTATGGCACATCGTCAAGTGCTTTGCTCCGATGCCCCGATTGGCTCACGAGGGTCGTAGCTTTATATCCTGTCTTCAAAGGACTGGCTCTCACAACGCTTGAGCGAGCACTTAACACCTCGCCTTGTCCTGTGCAGAAGGTACTCCGTGATAATGGTTTGGTCCGGTTCGACATTCTGACAATATACAATGACACTTTTGTGAGCTGCTTGGAGATGTCTTCGGGGTAATCCGAGAAGTCAGACATACTGCTTTGGTACAAGATTATGTTCTGTATACTCAGGGATGGACCACACCGGACGCTGCAAGTCGTTCCAGCCAATGCAGCGCTGCGAGCGCTTCATTTGGCCTCGTGCCACACTCAGCGCATGTCACGTGTCACACACTCGGAACTGATTTACCTCCGATGGCTCGTAGCGTGCGCTGCGGTCCATTTTAAGGTAGAACGGATCGTAACAGACTACGCTGCTTTGTGTTTGCGAATAATGGATCGCTTAGAGGGGTTCATTGGTAAATCCTGCTTGAGTTCAGCCTGAGCTCGCAAACTCTGGACAGAATAAAACTGTGTGGCGTAGAAATAAAAGCTTCTAAAAATGTCGGTATCGTTTTTCTTTTTTTACTTGTAACTTTTGTTATTGCTTGGGAACGAGTTCGGCCCTGGAAGCTGTTTGCCGCACTGTAAATTTGTCCAGTTATTAGTGAGTGTAATGATTTTTATGTAGGTGATAGGCCCTCTTGTTAAGAGCATATCAGATATAGTTCAATGCTATATCTTGAAGACATTGCCAGATAACAACTCACAAATATTGGGTAAAAATGTCAAAGTTGCCTAGTTCGTGTATTTCGAAGCGCTGCATTTCGCATGGAGACAAAATAATGCAACATGTTAATGGAACACCACGCGATATAGTGTAAAATATTTTCCTCGAGAAAAAAAAGAAAAATTTTTAATTGCACGCTGAAGTTGGGGAACTTTTCACACTGAAGCACGTTTGAAGTGTTGTAAATATTTTCAGTTATAAAACTCGAGGAAAAAAATATTTTTAGATGATTTACCGTTCCGGAAAGAATATACAAAAAAAATTCAACGCTATATCCAGAAAATATTACGAGATATGCACTCCTAAACATCAGATACAAATATCAAAGTTACACGCACGCACACACGCACGAAGGTGCACAATAACCTGAAAGCCGAATGCAGTGGCTGATGTACGAGTAGTGATCAAACTGTTTCTGCGGTTGACATCATGGGACGTCGCGTTCATGTGGGAGCTGTAAAGGTTAGGTGATCAAAAATGCGCAATCATGACAATCAGAGCACATATCTCCAACATTTTTTACCCTCAACAACCTTCTCTCCCCCCCCTTTTTTTTCTCGCTCAGAAAAAAAGAAAAGAAAAAGAAGGGAGATCATTTAATGGTGCGACTTTTTCCGACGGTGCACGCGCGCAAAAGTACATGTCAATCGCAGAAGTGTTATTTACAAGATGAAGTACACAGGAAAGTGATTGTCGCATTAGATGTCATTATAATTGGTTTTAGTAGTGCACCCATACAGTAGCCTAACCACATAGTTTTAACCCAACCACGTGAAAACGATCAGTTCTTTTGTTGACCCGTTCAAGACTGGCAGTTGTTGAAATATTTTAGCAAAGCGAAAACCGGGTGTCGGCGCAAATGATAATCTATACGCAAACCCGAGCCCCTGAGACTTCAACAGTGCCTCCGGTATATGTGTGCGTGTGTTCACCTCGATTAGAGAAGTCATTCCAGATATAGTCACGGCAGTCCGGAAAGTCGAAGTGCTTCCGTCGCATTCCAATTAATGCTCGGAGCCTTTATTCTTGGCTGTAGGTAAAGGTTAGGTTAGCTCGCACCTCACGTGTGAACCTAAGAACAAACGATTCCGTCAAAGCATTTTATGCTGCACAGGTTACGCCACCTCAGCTTATCGGATATCAGTGATACATTACAATAGACTGGAGTAGCTCTTGCTGTGTTGCAACTTACAAGCACAAGTAGAGAATTAAAGAAAAAATATTATCTTCTTTTTTTTATTAAAAACGAGCTTGCGAGAGCACGGTTATGGTCTAATCTCATATGTTGCGCTGTAGTACAGCATGGCGACACCACTGATTCAGATACTTTGGAGTTACTAGCGCATCGTAAAACCTCGTTGTCATCGGCGGCTTCCTGAACAAGGTTGCGGCATGACAGTAATATATTATATTGCGCCTACATTGCACTGTTTGCAACAGCAGACTGATATTTCATTATCGACAAGCAAACTCTACCTGCAAAAATTAAATGTAATACGAAGATAATGCCCATAGTTTTAGTAATCAGTAATTTGTAATGTGATATATTTAAATTTTAGTGATTTTTAAGAAAGGAATCGGTAATGTAAAACAGTTAGTTTTGGAAAATGCTTTTGCCATATCTCGCCTAGAAATCTCAAGAGGGCGACTGTACTAAAGTGATTAACCATTTCGAGAAGAGATAATGAGTTGAGAAAGATTAACGCAATATTGTAATTACACTCCCAAAATTTGACGGGTGAACTTGTACTTTAAACTTTTGTTTACGGAAAGGTGGAGTTCTAGTCACCGGTGTGGCCACGTGCAATATGACGTCTAAACGCGGCACTGGTCACTAGTCGGATCTCAAAACGCAATATAAAAATGCAAGGAACCGAAAAAAAAAGGCTCTGCTTCGTATTATGGATTTTTGCAGATCTCAATATTTGGAGTTTCGGTCAAATTTCAGAACAAAAGCAACGGTCTGACAGCCCCCATCGCTGTTTATTTCAACGTGTGTCCCATTTAGGCAACACCAGGTGGGTTGGGGTAAAAGCACCGGACATGTTAGAGTACGCACGCTGGCATGAATTCCCGTCCCGTAAACACTTTTTGTAAGGCTCGCCGCTTCCTCTTCAAGTACCCATGGGGTCACACTACACTCTCTAGTACCGTATTTTCCGGACTATATAAATTTAAATGTTGAAAATTCACCCGATGCGGACTATCTACAGGTGCGGACAATACAATGATATAATTTTTCTAGATCTTTCACTATGACAATCGTGAAGGATTTTATGAGTAACGGACTATACTAATGTTGATTTACGTACGATAAAGCTTCATCGTGAGCTAATACAGTAGGCGTTTGTCAAGGTCTGCTGAGTATGATACTTTTTACGTTCGGACTAGGTGCTAAGTGCGGGCTTTGCACTGGGTGCCGTTTGTGTACCGGGTGCGGACTATCTAAGCAAGCACTTTTATTTTTGACGCAAAATATTTCCCTGCGGACTATGCACCGGGTCCGGGCTATAGTCCGGAAAATGCGGTAGTTCCTTCGAACTCTAGGGTTCTTGGACGATGGCCCTTAGCCTATGCCCATCCTCACATGGCCTTGGGTCACTTTACATGGACGGCAGAAGCAGTCAAATGCTCGGAGTAGCCAAGCATGCTTATCGCAAAACAAAACAAAAATTCAGAGACAAAACCGAGAGGCTAGGCTCTGAAATGCTGCAGAAAGGAGGGTTCGGTTTCGGGCGCTTCTCTGGTATCGCCGGAGGAAAGGGGTCGCTGTGCCTCCCGCCGCAAATCGCTCATTATGCGCTTAGCTTGGCCTATCTGGCCCCGAGATGCAGCAACAAAAGGAGTCTCCCCGCCGTCAAGTCAACTGTGGGAGAGGAGGAAATGGGAAGTGTGGCGAGGGGAACTTTTTTCTGGTTGAAAAATATTCTGCAGGTTGGTCTTTGAGCGCCGCGTGGTGGGAAGTTTTGAAACTAGCCCGAATGTCTCGGAATCTTGGCCTTGCACGCAACGCGCGTTTCTCGTTTTCGGTTATCATCTGAGTTTTCCTGTCTGTATTCTGCCCTTCGACCGACCGACCCACCGACAAACCCTCCGACCGGCCACGGACTGACTGATAAGATTTGCGGACCGATTTCCGACTTTGATACCGGGCAGAATGTCCAACGCAAGGAATCGCCGACACAGAAGAGACCGCACGGACGCGCAGTACGCAGCGGCAATGATGAGGCGACAGCGTGTGCTGCGGGACCGCCTGAACCCCTTTGAGGATTTCGACGAGGATGGGCTGCAGCAACGGTTCCGATTTGGAAGAGCGGGCATAATGTTTCTCGCCGACACACTGCGTCCGGACTTGGAGCGCCGTACACGTCGTAGCCGCGCCCTCTCTGCGGAGCAGCAAGTGATCATCGCCTTGCAGTTCTACGCAACTGGGAACTTTCTGATCACTGCAGGCGACTACATCCGCGTGCATGTGTCAAGTGCTTCACGGGCTGTGAGGCAAGTCACCGTAGCGCTGGCTCGTCGAGCACAAGACTTCATACGGTAAGGGTCCTTTTTTTTTCCTTTTAATTGTAGTTTGCCAGCCGTATTGAAGTAAAGTAAATACACTAAAAATATATCTGAATTGCTGGTGATAGGGATGTTTTGTAGGTTGCCTTTTTATGGCAGTAATATTCTACCTACTAGTAACTAGCCCTCCCTCCCCCTCCCCCTTTTCAATAGAAAAAAAAAATGATTACGGCCGTAAGCGTCCTACTTGCCCGATTGGAAAGGGCCCGGGCACGCTATTTTTCTGAGAAACCTCAGAAAGCGACCCGTTTGCACTTTTGGTAAGGACTTGCACCGAATCACAGTCACTTTATAGGTCTTGGTAACTGAACAAAAATAAAAAGGGATCCTATGAAAACATGCAAACTTCACTATTGAATAGGTGCTACTGAGGCACTTTACTGCTACCACATACTTGAAGGGCACAGCCAAAGTCCTTAGCATTCCTCATTAAAAAGGTATTCATAAGCATTGTAGCTGTAAGTTTACTATATGTGGTTTAATTGCTGAGGGGATCAACGACGCAGATGGCCTGACGCTGCGGAGGGGGCAGCCTTGCAGCACAAGTTCTACGACATGGCCGGCTTTCCTTTGGTCGTGGGTGCTGTTGACGGTACCCATGTCCGGATCCAGGCACCCCATGTGCACGAGGAGGCGTACGTCAACCGCCATGGATACCATTCCATCAACGTACAGGTGGTCGTTGACACCTCTTCTCGGATTCGCAACGTGGTTGCAAGGTGGCCTGGAAGCACCCACGACTCTCGGATCTTCACGGAGAGCACCTTGGCAGTCAAGCTGGCCAGTGGAGAGTACGACGGCCTGCTGCTTGGTGACAGCGGCTACTCCTGTCAACCATGGCCGATGACGCCATTCCTGTCGCCGTCATCAGCAGCCGAGGTCGCATACAATAGGCACACACGACGACAAGAAGCATTGTTGAACGGTAAATCTAGGCCATATATTTTGAAGGGCACAGAGATATTCATGCAAGACATTTCGAGACGACTAGCTGTCTTGACGTAATATGTGCAACACGTGCATGCTCCTTACGTCCATTGCTATTCTTTATGGCATAAAAATATTCATACAAATTTTTATATTAATCTAACGAAGCATAAGATACCGTGGTTTTATGTAAGCAAGATGAAAGTAGTATCCTGAGATTACGAATCAATACAACTTATAATAGCTGCCTAGGGTTCTGCGGTTTCAGTTTTTATTTTTCTGGAATCGGCATACTTTTTTCGGTTGTTATTGTGAGTATGAAATTTTCAGTTTTTATCGATGAATATTTTTAGTCGAAAGCTTACTGCCTTTTTCCGGTCGATATCTATTGACCAGTTACGTTTTTTTTCAAGCAGGTTTGTCGAGAATGCAGTAGATTAGGTTCATATCTGAGTTATTCGTCAAGCGGTAACACTTGCGGACATGGCAAACGTAACCTTGGTTATACATGTGCTGTGACGACAAATTCTTAATCGCAAAATTTGCAAACGTAATTCTTGGCACGCTTCTTTGTTCTTCACATGTGGAGGACTATTAAAGCTGCTTTCCTCTAACCAGATAGCACCTTGAGAGAGGCTGTTTAAACAGCTTTGGTTTTTTTCTTATGCTCCCTACAATAGGAACAGAATGACATTCCATTCCTCCCAGAACAAAAGTAAGACCAAATGGCTTGACAAACAATGAAAACGCTCCAAATCCGCCCTCTAGACGACCACAGCAAACTTGATGGACAAAGGAACGCAAATTGCATCGATGACAAACCCAAATACTTCCTAAAGTGTGCTTCCAACAGAATAGTTTGAAAGCACGGAGATAAGATAGTTGACTACTCGGTCACATGCTTCTATACTAAAGTACTGACCATTTAGGTTTAAAATCAAACTTTCGAAACTTACCTCACCACACTTTATTGGGTTTTATCGCTTGAGACTGAAAATGCAGAAACTCAGTTATGTCTTAGGTCCCCAGGACTGGCAATAATGGAGAAAAGCACTAAACTCACCTCAGGCGCCAGTGCTACGCAAGACCCGGACAGAAGTTGATATTTTGTTAATTGGACAAAAAGAAGCATTAATGACAATGGAATTTTTTTCCTAGACACACCAGTGGAAGTAACACTGTGCCTTGGCACTTTCATATGTCTACTTTTTGAAATGTCAGTTTCGGGCTGTTTAATGGAAACTAACTGAACGTGCTAGATATGTATGTACTCATATTGAGTGCACAAGTACAGCTAAGCTCGTGCGTGCTAAGATGCGTGTGATCCAAAAATAGCGGCACATCGGTGTAAGTCGCAAGCAATTGTGTGTTGCTGACCGTCTTGACCGATTGGCCAAGAGTACATGCCTAGCATGACCTATTCTGCTCTCATCGATGGATTTAAGAGTAGTGCCAAGGCATCATTTTGGACAATGTTGAAGTTGAGCATGCAATAACAAGTTTCCACAAATAGTCTCTAGACACCATCTTACACGTCATTCACGACTGATGATGAGTCGCAGCAATTTCAAATGTTCAGGCAAATCTTGCTTGGGATTCCGTTGTGAAAGCGCCATAAGACCCTCTACCAAAACTTTTGCTGCATGCGTCCAGGAGCTTCCACTTGAGTCAGAAATGGCGGTGCGTGGACCACTAACTAATAGGAACACTAGCGGCACAATCAAAGGGTAGGAGTACTTGGATAAGGCGTTATATCAAGTGCTTTACGTCTTACATCTCCCAGACTTACAAGACGGATTCTTATTGATCAATGACAAAAGTAGATGGGTTGCACTACCACGAACATCTATTCCTGGAGAGTGGAAGGGGAAAGGCTCAACAAGACAAGAGTCTGGCTCTCTTTCTCTTTTCACTCTGTCTCACAAGTAACATGTAGAATGAAATTTTGATAGTACTGTATTTGTTGCAGTATAAAGCTTGGTTACAAGTTAATTCTTACAGCGTTGGCAGCAATCAGGTAGCAAAAACTTCTAACATATTGGCCTGTGCATATGCAGGTGTTTGTTTGGAAGCATATCCACGAAACCCTTTGAGGATAGCGCTTGAATAAAGCTGCACTTTGCTTGTTGCTTTCTATAAAATACATTGCACAGGCTAACCTCAGGTGACCCCGGATGTGAACGCAGTGTAAAAATAATTCGGAAGGAAAATAAAATGGTATGCATAATGCCCAGCTTTCGATATCCTGGAGCAATGGGCTGGAAAAATTAGGAGGTGTGATATCGGGCACGGCAGCCAATTTGCGATTCGAATTCAGCGGTAAATTTGTCCTTGTTGCGTGTCATCCTCTTGAGTATTTGCGTTCCACGCTGTTGTCCGATTTTGCTATTGGGTTTCTGGGAAGGAATAACATGTGGTTTTGATCCATGCGCATGTACAGGACAATCGGCCAACTCAAGCGGAGGTTCCATTGCCTTCACGCTGAGCTCCGAATGGCTCCAGAACGGTGCTGCGACATCATTGTCGCGTGCTGTGCCCTCCACAGCCTGGCCAAGAGGTACCCCTGCAGGACACCCGTGGCCGCCATCCCCGCTGAGGTTCCCTTTGAGCCCGTAGCAGCCAACCGTGCTGAGAGCAACGAGGCCCGAGACTTTATTGTCAACCATTTCTTCGGCTAAGTGTAAGTGTCCGAATAGGTATCTTCTGGCTGTCCATTTCTAATGCAAGATGCTTTGTTATGATCGTGGCTATTGCTTTCACCTTTTGTTTATCAGGTTTTGCAGATAATTATAAGAAAATTATGTCAGACAGTTGTCTAACTAGATCAAAATTTTGCTTGAAATAATATTTATTGTTTTGCTACTTAAACAACAATTGTAATTTTGGAAACTGCAACAGTTAGGGGCTCAACCGTGCTGCACAGTTAGCAAGAAGCCAACAGCTTTGAGATATTGATTAATTTTATTTTAAGCTTTTTTTGTATGATCTAACTGGATGTAAGATTATCATAAGTTCTACCCAAAATAACCCATAAAGGAGTGTGACACATGTGACAATGCTGAAAGTGTGTTATCAACATGACAATGACATTCCAGCAATACATATATCACTCTTGCACAGATCAATTTGGGTAGTGCTTGCAGATATCCCACATAGAGTTTCGAAATTTGGATGATAGAAATGTAAAGAATGATTGATGGACATCCCCTTATACCTGTTGCTTCCATAGCAGTACGTGTAAATTGCAGCATGAGCGACAAAATAAGTAATGAAAAAAAATTTTCTTACTTCCCGCATTATTGTTACAAAGCTCGAAATGTGTCATTTGAGGCACTTATAATTAGCTCGTTGGAAAGAGTGTGCTCGAAAAAATCCCTGCCGAAGCTATTGGTCAAACGGGAGTGCAGTGCAATGTCCAACACTCCTGCAATCGCACGCTGCAGCTCAACTGCTTGTTACTGCTTTGGTCTCCTCCCCATCAACTCCTGCACTCTCGTAGAGCTACAAGCATAGGCACACACGGGCTCTCTTAAACTAATAGATTTTGAATTTGATTTCCGGAGTTCATAACAATGCACTTTTCAAACTTCTAACTAATGACACGAGGGATGCTTCTTCAAATTTGTGCACTTCTTCGCACTCTCTGAAGCTCCCTTTTTATACTGTCATTATATTTTGTAATACATTTCCCACACCGACGGATGCTTTATGGGAAGTGCTGAAGTCAGCCCTATAACAGACTATGTGTGCACAGTTTATAATGAGGCAACTGAAGAAGACAGTTATTTTCCCAGTCAATATCTACAAACTGATACTATTTAATGTGTACAGGAGCATGAATAGGAGAGTATAGTGAAACAATGTTCATTTGATACCAATTTCAAAGCTATCAGTACAAATTATATATACCACCCCATAGAATGTTCATTTTTCACTGCATACTCATGGTTACTAGCTCATAGGATTTACATAGTGTACGCTTCTGAGTGTTGAGTCATAACACCTTTCACAGGTTTTTCCAACCTGCAAAGCTTTTCTCTTATTTTTCACAAACCTCCTAGGGTTAGTTCATATCCGTCCGTCCGTCCGTCTGTCCGTCCGTCTGTCCGTCTATCCGTCCATCTGTCTGTCCGTCTGTCCGTCTATCCGTCCGTCTGTCCGTCCGTCTGTCCGTCTATCCGTCCGTCTGTCCGTCCGTCTGTCCGTCTATCCGTCCGTCTGTCCGTCCGTCTATTCGTCTAACCGTCCGTCTGTCCGTCCGTCTATCCGTCCGTCTGTCTGTCCGTCTGTCCGTCTATCCGTCCGTCTGTCCGTCTGTCCGTCCGTCTATCCGTCCGTCTGTCCGTCCGTCTGTCCGTCTATCCGTCCGTCTGTCCGTCCGTCTGTCCGTCTCTCCGTCCGTCTGTCCGTCTATCTGTCCGTCTGTCCGTCCGTCCGTCCGTCTGTCCGTCCGTCTGTCCGTCCGTCTGTCCGTCTATCCGTCCGTTTGTCCGTCCGTCTGTCCGTCTATCCGTCCGTCTGTCTGTCCATCTGTCCGTCTATCCGTCCGTCTATCCGTCCGTCTGTCCGTCCGTCTGTCCGTCCGTCTGTCCGTCTATCCGTCCGTCTGTCCGTCCGTCTGTCCGTCCGTCTGTCCGTTTATCCGTCCGTCTGTCCGTCCGTCTGTCCGTCTATCCGTCCGTCTGTCCGTCCGTCTGTCCGTTTATCTGTCCGTCTATCCGTCCGTCTGTCTGTCCATCTGTCCGTCTATCCGTCCGTCTATCCGTCCGTCTGTCCGTCCGTCTGTCCGTCTATCCGTCCGTCTATTTGTCTATCCGTCCGTCTGTCCGTCCGTCTGTCCGTCTATCCGTCCGTCTGTCCGTCCGTCTGTCCGTCTATCCGTCCGTCTGTCCGTCCGTCTGTCCGTCTATCCGTCCGTCTATCCGTCCGTCTGTCCGTCTATCCGTCCGTCTGTCCGTCCGTCCGT